AGCACCCTTACCACCCTTTCTGTGGGAGGGTAGGAGCCTAACTTCTGCAAAAGCCTCCTTCCAAGATGCAAAATTATCTCCTGTCATGAAGATATGAAAAGTGTGTATTTCCTTTGTATAAAGCCAATTAGCTAACATAGATGGTCACTCCTAATACCAGGTGAATTTAGGATGTACTGCGTGTGTGACAAATACCATTGTCAAGTCCTCTTACTTGAGGACTAGTTAACGTTTACCCTGAGAATTTATATGTAATGGGTTATATCTGCTTGGCTCTATAAAAGGGAAAATCTTTTGATTACCTGTTTCATCTCTTAAAGACGCCACCTTTTAATACTATCACATTGGCAACACCGGAATTTTGGAGGGCACACATTCAAACCATAGAAGTGCTCAATCCCTTTCCAGCCCTAATTACTCTGTTTGTTCTGTGATTATGCCATTCACTTTCAAACCCCTGATCCTCTTTGTTCTTCTCTGCCTCTTTATGGAATGCCCTTTCCTCTTGTCTATCTGGTAAACTCCTACTAATCAATAATTGAAATGTCATCTCTTATGAGTTGTTGTTCTCTCTGACTGACTTAAACTCTCAGCAGAATTATCTGTACTCTTATGTTTTCCCATTAACCTAATTGTTGCACTTACACACTGCCTTGCAATGATTTGATTATACATTTGACTTTTCCCAAATTATGAGCTCTTAAAAGGAAAGGATTATGGGGAGTGGACCTATCGGTTGAATTTGCCTGCCATGTCAAATTTTTCCTTTTAGTTCAGCCTTCCTACTAAGGGACAGTCCTTTTCTGATGCTAATCTTATCTTCTTATCCCAAGCTCCTTGTGTGGTATTTGGAGCATAGTAGGTACTTAATAAATGTTTATTAAATTATAATCATTAAGTATGCCCAAATCACTGGATCTTCATATAAGTAATATTTATTGATTATCAGCTAATTCCACTTCTTTAATTTTTCATTCTGGAAAAAAATGAAATTAATGTATCAATAGGACATGACCAAAGTATATGATCATATTTTTATGAGTCTTATTTTCTAGTTTCGTACCCTAAAAATAGTTAGTTGGTGGTAATGCTAATGATTATCATGAGGACATTCCTTATTAAAATGTGTTTTTAATGTTAAAAGAAATGTCAAACCTACACAAATTAGAGAAAAATGAACAACCGTGTACGTGTCACTCAGCTAAACTCATTGCCCCTCTTGTAATATAATTCCACACCTCTGCCCCACTGGGTTTATGTAAGGTGAATACCAAAGATGATAGTATTTCAACCATAATTATTTCAGGATGCATCTCTAAAAGATAAGGATTCTTCTTTAAACACATTCATAATAGCATTGTAAGTTACTCTTCTGTGGGAATAATCAATTTGTTCTAAATCACT